TATATATATATATATATACTGAAATATATATATATATATATATATATATACACACCTCTATATATATATATATATATATATACACCCCCATATATATATATATATACACGCACCCCCATATATATATATATATATATATATATATATATATATATATATATATATATATATATATATATATATATATATATATATATATATATATATATATATATATATATATATATATATATATATATATATATATATATATATATATATATACGCCCCCATATATATATATATATATATATATGTGAAAAGTGAATATAAATATAAATAAATATATATATGTGTATAATTATTTATATATTTTATGCGCGGTACTTATTAGAAAGAGCTCAATATCAGAGATAGAGCTAACATATTTGGTTGGATAGATGTGAGTCACATCTATCCAACCAAATATATATATATATATATATATATATCTTTCTATCTCGCTACTCTGAGCTCATGCGTTACGATAGATAGTTGTTTATGTCTTTTTTATTTCTATAATAACGATTTCAAACCCGAATAAATTCTACAGTTTTACCTGCTCATTTTTAAAACGCCGTTTTTCTCACACCTATCAAGATCGAGTCAAAAATAAATGAATCTTATACATTTAGCCGTTATGTGTATAAGTCCAGTTATACAACAATTGCTCCGGCCAGAAATAATCAGTTTCTCATTTACTTTTCCTATTGCTATTGATTATCCGCGATCATGAACATTCTTATTTTCCTTAATTAAATTTTATATTTGTTAATAGTGAATCCCATTTGCTACGTAAATTGAACTTTTTCTTGTTAATTCGTAATCTAGAGTTTTTAATCGATAGTATTTTATTAAAAAGAAACTCCAGATTAGGAATTTCAAATTAGGCATTATCTTACTTTTAAATCTTACAAAATCACGTCATTGAAGCATTTTTCATTTTGTCTTCCGTGGGTGTGGTAATTTTCAATGTATTTAAGTAGCAAATAGTCATCACTATAAACTTTTATAAAATTTAATTTATTTTTTTATATTCTTGATCTGGTGTGCTTAATCTGTAACAATATTAAAATAATTGAAAACAAATGTTATTTCTGGTCCCAGTGCCTACTTACTATACAACACCTGCAAAAGTTTTAATACATATTTTACATAAATTCTATCTATCTATCTATCTATCTATCTATCTATCTATCTATCTATCTATCTATCTATCTATTGCTGTTTCTTCACATCTATATGTCTGTGTGTGTCTATCTATCTATCTATCTATCTATCTATCTATCTATCTATCTATCTCTTACTCTCACTGTCACTTCACACTTATCTATCTATTGCTGTGCCTTCATATCTATCTATCTATCTATCTATCTATCTATCTATCTCATTTTATATATATCTAGCTAGTGAGCTATTCCTGTGACTATCTATCTATCTATCTATCTATCTATCTATCTCATTTATATATATATATATATATATATATGTAGCTAGTGAGCTATTCCTATGACGACATATCTATCTATCTATCTATCTATCTATCTATCTATCTATCTCTACTGAAATGTAAGCACGTTCTCAGATAGGTGCATCGTTATATAACCTGGACCAGACACAGACAGGATATCACTAGATCCCAGAAAACACATATACGCTTGACCATCTGTATATATTTTTGACTTGAGGTATGGTGTCCTCATTTTTGTTGTCATATTCACAATGTTTCTGTCATTGTATGCTCCTGTCTTCTTCAGGTGATATTCACTCACTGATGTGGTCCAATGGATAAAAGTGTTTGCTGCGTAATCCAAGTTTGACGTTACCCAGAGTGTTATGAGTTCAATACCTGCTCACACCGGTGTGAGCAAATCTAGGAGATTTGAGTTAGAAGAATTTGTCGAACTTAGAAGAAGAGGAGAATTAACTAAAACTGTGATATCCAAAGTCATGGCACGTGGATTTAAGACAATCTACTCCCGTGGATTAAATGAAGGCTTCGGCTCGAAATTTCACCTGAAGAAGAAAACTGGAGCGTACAATGACCGAAACATTTTGAATATGACAATAAAATGAGTACAACAACCTAATCTCAAAAATATAGACAGATGGTCAAAGTATATACCTTTTCATTGATCTGGTGAAATCCTGTCTATGAATTGTCCAGTCTATATATATATATATCCCGTTGGACTTATCTCAGAATGATCGAGAAAAAAGAATGCCAAACATAGTTAAACAGAAAGAGAAAAATAGAAGAAACTGCAAATATATATATATATATATATATATATATATATATAATTCAGAAGTTCCTTATCCTGCTACAGATTGTTATTGATCGTCGTTGCTGTTTCGTCGTTGTTTTCATCGTAATGACTGGCAAATGAATTGATTAAGAAAACTTTTGGTGTGGTGCAGATTAACTGTCACTTGAGGTTGACTGACTCACACCTCTAACAAATAAACTGCTCTTCTTTTAATGAAACATTTCACGCTTATTCTCTTAATTTTTTTCTCAGCGAAGAATATATGCCGTATTATAAAACGTGACGATATTACCACAAATTTGTAAAACGGATATTTACCAAGGCAGAAAAAGAAAAGAAAGGAAAGAAAGGAAAAGAGAGGCGAAGACCCAAAGCGTGGATGATAAGCAGAACACCCACGGCTAAGAGACAATGGATAAAGGATATTTTGATAAGTAACAAATGGCGAAGAGTGTCATTACAATGGCAGGGAAATTCTGAGTGGATAAAGGAATCGGGTGTGTTCTGGCGACGGGCTGTGTTATCGGGATACATAAACAAACCGCTAATGCGGGAAGGCATCTGATTAGCAAACTACAGACCGACTAGCCAAAGAAAAGTCCAAATGTTATTTTGATAAGTGACGAAAAACAGGTGGACTACAGGGCTTTGGATAGATATGAAAAATTAATTGTGTCAAAAGCCGCACACGAGGTGGCCACTGACCGTTTTCTTTCGACAGAACATCTTTAGCCTGCGATAATAAAACTATGTTATCAGAAATATGTACCAAAAAATGAATGGGAACCTAGAAATGTTTCTTTTCGAGGCGACGGTCTGGCCGTGTTAAAAAGACCACCCATTCTGATAATTAGCGATAAGATGACTGACGAAGCCCAGGTGAGAACAAGAGTTATGACCACCATCGATCGTATTGTTCTGTTTGCGGCTAGAGAAAATGATAACTGCGATTAAAAGAAAGAAAAGGAAAAGAAAAAGATAATTTTTTTTTTGTTAAGCAAGATATTTTTTTCCTGACACAAAGCCGCGTGATCGTACACGCCCGACTAGACATCATTGGTCGAGTGGTGATCACGTGACGCAAGGAGGAGGCTGTCGCCGCCCATCTAGAGGATGGGTATGAGAGGTTGCTACGAAGAAGTGGGGAGGGCAGTTCACGCCCCTCTGAAGTATGGTGAGAAGGTGGAGTAAGAGAAGGCTCCCAAAAATGGAAAAAAGTGGAAAATTCTAACCAGAAATAAAAGAGGTGGATATGTATTTAGAATTATCGAGGACCCCCGGCGCCGACAAACCCACCCCGGTTTTGGTCGGCGTCCATATAAGCGAAGTCGCAGCGAGCAGAAATCAGTTCGAGTTAGAGTTTCAGTTCCAGTTCCAGCAGAGAGCTCGAAGTTCGCAGTGGAAGTTGGTTCCACCTCGCAGATAGCTGACTTGAAAGATTCACGTAAATTCCGGACTCCTCTTCAATCCAAGAACAATTAATTTGAAGAGCGACTTAGATCCAGACCACCAAAATAAGTTTTTTTTTCGACTTTCGCCCGAAGACACACCGAAAAACCCATTTCTTAAAGAGCAAACAACTTGAAGCGTTAAAACTCGCCTAACGGAAAACAACGTGTCACAATCCATAGAACGGGTCGGGAAATAGACGCAGTCCTATGTATCCAACAATTACACATAAAGTTTGTTATCCATTTTTTTGATACCTTGAATTTTTGAGTTATCATTTTATTTTATTTTATGCATATTTGTGCGGTGTCACCCCCGTTTGAACCCGATTTGCATTACGGCCCCAACTACTGATTGATCTCGTCTGCCTAAGATCAATTCACAACGCGGGTAGGCAGACTGGAGATCAGTGCAGTTACTTTTGTAACCAGGCTGATATCGAATCTAACCAGATTCCCATCCAAATCACAAAAAGGTGAGAACGTCACATTTGGGTGCCGCGACCGATACCAATCCAGTTGGTCGTCACAGAACGAGACAACACGACTGACGCGACAGGCGGACGTCATGTTTGGAGCGGCGACACCCGAACGGAGCAGCGAGGAGCGAGCGAAGGCTGCGTTTAAGGACGTCACATTTGAATTATTGATTATAAAGGTGATCGAAAATACAGCAACTTTATAATCCTCATAACTTTTTTCTTTTTCATTCTTTCTTTTTCATTCTTTCTTTCTTTTTCATGCTTTCTTTGTTTTTCATTCTTTCTTTTTCATTCTCATTCTTTCTTTTTCATTCTTTCTTTTTCATTCTTTCTTTCTTTTTCATTCTTTCATTTTTCATCCTTTCTTTCTTTTTCATTCTTTTTCATTCTTTTTTTTCATTCTTTCTTTTTCATTCGTTCTTTCTTTTTCATTCATTCTTTCTTTTTCATTCTTTCTTTCTTTTTCATTTTCATTCTTTCATTTTCATTCTTTCTTTCTTTTTCATTCTTTCTTTTTCATTCTTTCTTTCTTTTTCATTCTTTCTTTTTCATTCTTTCTTTCTTTTTCATTCTTTCTTTCTTTTTCATTCTTTCTTTTTCATTCTTTCTTTCTTTTTCATTCTTTCTTTCATTTTCATTCTTTCTTTCTTTTTCATTCTTTCTTTTTCATTCTTTCTTTCTTTTTCATTCTTTCTTTTTCATTCTTTCTTTCTTTTTCATTCTTTCTTTCTTTTTCATTCTTTCTTTTTCATTCATTCTTTCTTTTTCATTCTTTCTTTCTTTTTCATTTTCATTCTTTCATTTTCATTCTTTCTTTCTTTTTCATTCTTTCTTTCTTTTTCATTCTTTCTTTTTCATTTTCATTCTTTCTTTTTCATTCTTTCTTTCTGTATATGGCTTGTTCCCTTTTATTCTATTTTAGGACTTCAAATCCATGTAATTTCAAAACGTCTTATTTCAACCTATTTTCTATTGATTTGAATGTGTTTCCTTTATGTCTCCTTATCAGGCATTTTCTCTTAAATTAATCAATATTCGATGAATATATTTTTCAATCTCTTTACCAATTTATATTATCATGATAATTCGTGGGATTTATTTTTGCGCCAGTAACTGTGAAGAACTTTCATTAATTAACATTTGTTTTTGAATTGAAATAATCTTTAATTACATTATATAAATTCGGACGGTTATCCTCATCTTTGTAGTTGTTATCCCATTGTTTCTGCCATCGAACACTCCGGTCGACAGCCATCGATACGAGTAACCGTCAGGGAATTTTGAAATTAAGCCTTTATTTAATCTACGGGTCTAGATTAGTCTCGTTCCGTACGATATATCGGGATATCTCGTTCGAATTCTAGTAGAATCCATTACATTAACTTACGTGCCAATAACCTTGGGAAAAGTATGAATCCTCTTCTTCTCTCCCGCAAAGCTATGCGTAAATAGCTTTGGATGGCATCTGGTCTACCACAGAAAGAAAAAGGCGATCTACTGCGGGAAAAAATCTGCCAGGTAAGATACGTGATCGCCTAAGTGTGTATCGCACATAACTGACTGATTTAAATAATTTTGATGTCTGTTTAGGAGATCGCGCTTTGATATGTTCCACGCGAACAAAATTTTTACACATTCCCTCTTCTAATAATTAATGGTTCACACACTTAAAAAATACGCGGTTATTTCAAAGATTGATGAGTTTATCAAGTATGTATTTTCTATGTCACCATTTGTATACAGAAATACAAAAACACAGATTTGATGTTGCGTGCTAATATCAACATATTTTGATATACTTATATTTAATGGATTTATATATATATATATATATATATATATATATATATATATAGATAGATAGATAGATAGATAGATACTAGCCGAGGTACCTGGTGTTGCCGAGTGTACATGGCTGCAATTGTACAAACGCATCGTCTTGTATACCCGCATCCCTTGTCTAAAAATATCTGTCTTTGTCACCGCTTGCATGCATCATCCGTTGGTATAATAAGCTAGCCACTCATCTTTTTTACGGTATGCCCTTTTCAAGTTTTTGATTGTTCTTAATATAGGAATTCCATAGATAAAAACTTAATGTGTGGTCGTTGCCCGGAGTTAAATTGTTTTAGATATTCACTAAATTTCCTATGGTCGTAAAAACTTTCAAATATTGTGGCATTGTTCACAAACCAAATAATCAAAAAATACAGGGATGGAGCATCAGAGTTTGATTCAACTGCAAGTGTAAACGCATGAACGCCCCACTTCTTCGGACGTTTACTGTAAAACTTGGGTTAATAAGACGTTCTTCAGGAATTTATCCCTTTTAACGCTTCAATAGACCTTCCCAAACAATCTATGAATTAAAGGTTGTTCGAATGCTAATTTAAAATGGAATCATGAAGAAACTATTGGCTAAATGGCAAAAGCCAATTTTGGACCTAGTTTGTCTTAGATTTATTCCACTTAACTGAAATAATCTAAAGTAAGCATTCAAGAAAGACAATTTGAGTGTCATATGTAATTCACAGGGCAAATGTGGAAAGCATCGGAGTTTTGGCCGAAAAACGGGCTTTTTGAACAATTTTTCGTGGTTTTTCGCTATACGTGAGGAAGTGAGCAGGACTTAAACGACACTATTTTATTTCTTGCATGATGTAATTTTTTTTGGCGAGAAGTTTGAAGAACATCGGATAAAAAATGAGGAACTTATTTAAATTTTTATTTTACGAAGTACAAAAAACCCGATTTTTAAAAAAGTTTTTGTAATTTTGAAGACAATGTCATAGGAAAACTATCAAGAATTCAACATTCAACGCTTTTTTATTCATTTGGTTTTAAAAATAACATTCCCCAAAGCATTAGTCATATATAGTTGTAAACGATTTCCAATGTTTTATATCATCCAAAAGTTTGAGAGCTTCGAGGTCTTCCAGATGGCTTTTAACTAATTAATAAATCTGTAGCCATGAAATTCTAGACCCATAGCATTATTGATTTTCTGCCCGGACAGCATCATTCCGATGTAACATGCAATGAGTACGAAAAACTCTATTTCACCAGTTTAAAAAAAAATGCTTTTCAAAAGCAAATGCACGGTGTGCACCGTTCGAAACCATGATGGTAACTGATGGTATCTCAAAAATATGGCACGATATTCGCTAAATGTAGACACCATTGACATTTGTCTACATTTCCTAACACCACGCAAATGACGGTAAAAAATGTGGAAGGCATGACTGCCGCCTCTTGCACATATACATTTTAATGAGTTACGCAGAGAATTAAGTAAATAAGCGCCCACCATTCTTTTTTTCTTTTTTTTTTTTAACTATGATTAGGGTCGGAAAATGTCGTTAATACTGTTTATTATAAACAGTGCATTTATCTAAATATTTGTCTCTATAAACAAAAAAACGTATAAACATAAAAATGTCTTAAAATAATTGTCGGATTTTGTTCGTTTCATAATGTCTTAGGTCATTTGTTTACATTTGGATACGCATTGAACAGATATGAATGTACGAGAGAAAATCATGGAGAATTTTAATTTAAAAACAGTAAAATCGACCTTGCTGACCAATACGCTCCTCTGTGGCTAAATCAGTAAAGCACGTCAGGCTATATGAAGGTTCCGTGTAGGATGCAGGTTCGATTCCTGTCGGAGGACGCACATATTCAATGAAAATTTCTCGTCCACTTTCTTTGTCCACTTCATAATATATATATATATATATGACAGGGGGATTATATGAAACGATGGGTTAGTTGAAATATCATATATTAAGCGGAAACTGAAGAAATATTAAGGATTTTTCTGTCATCTGGCAACTGATTTTGCTATAATTTTCCCACCAGTTATGGAACTTGGCAAACCTATTTTCCTGAAGATTTGTTTCAAGAGAAAGATTTTTTTTAAATTTCATAAGGAATTAACATTACCTTCTCGCTCAATTATTGCGAAATGTTTCCCTTTAATTAAACCGCTTAACATTTCCTTTACTATATTGCTATCATGTCACTGCAAAAGATTTTCTATCCTATAGAAAGTTTTGTGTATATTTCTCATCTTAAAGTAAAGTTACTACTTGCCAGGAAGTTTTTCGTAAATAATCAAGGCGGTGATTAATGATATTTGTTAATTCTTTTGTCAAAATTGAATTGGAATTGTAAATTATGTGACTTTCCTGGTTAATTTTCTACATGCTACTTGAGTTGTTTTATTATAATGATGTTCAGCATGTACAAGTCCCGAGAGAAAGTCGAGGTAGAGGGTTACGGAGTTAGAAGTCGTGGAAGATTCCCTCATATTATAGCAGCTGAAATTATCCTTGTGTTCTCGGAGATAAAAGCATACATGACAGGAATTAAAACGTAGACAAATAACAGTAAAAGCATGGTAAATTTTATGTTAATTTCTTTCTATTTTTTGCGTGTATTGGTGCGTGTAACTTTAAGGTTACAATTGTTTTATGGCACATGTGATAAAAGAGGGAAATTACTCTGTTATTACCCGCCATATCACAGAGAGAAGTCGGACACGTGTTGCCTGTACCAAAGTTCATAGTGAAAAGATTGATTATAACGTCTTTTGGTGGGATGGCAGTATTTCCGACAGGACCAGTTTTTGTTGCATACTATTATTATTTTTAAGTTTTATATAATTTATGCAATGCTTTTATGTTACTTTTTTATCTTATTTTATTTATAAATTTCATTATTATTATTTTATATTCTATTTTTATTTATTTATTTATAATAATAATAATAATAATAATAATAATGATATTCCTTCAAATTAAATTTTATGCGGTACGTTTGGAATATAACGGTTAATCCTAGACTTAAAGAGGATAAGAGTGTAGTGGTCGGGGAAGCAACCTCTTGGGAGTCGGTTACACAAGGCGGTGGTTCGTGGAAAGAAGCTGCTCTAGTGGAGCTTACATCACACCAAGGGAATACAAAGGGAATGAGTGTGGATCGCTATAATATGCGTGATATGGCGAGTCTTAGCCGAGAAGTTTAGAAACGTTGAAACCAGGGAGTGTAGTCCATCTGAACACTCTCCATGGAAATAGTGGTAGAAGAGCGAGAGGCGTGTGACATCTCATCTGTGAGAAAGAGGGTGTAAGGTAGAAAATATTTCGTCATGTAGAAAAGCGCGGAGATGCTTTTGGACACTATCTAGTGGGGAATGTAAAGTCTGGTCAGCTCCTGCACTTAAAGAAGACGCTTTCTTAAAGGATAAAAAAAAAACAAACAAACGGATAAAATGTGATACGAATGATTATGTGAACTATTTAAAATGTTCGGTGAGACACGAGAAAGACTGGACATCTTTATATTTATATTAGCAGCATGGCCCGGCGTTGACCGTACTTGATTAAAAAATCGTACGACTCATACAGCAATCGCTATCACTTGACTTAAAATATTTTTGCCCTTCCTTGCCTTTAAAGGAGTGCCCTTTTCCGTGCTGATGTTGCTACAAGCCTTACTTCTTGCTTATCTCACAGTGCGAATTTTTTCTAAGCTCTATACTAAACATTAAATCTGTAACGAAAAAAGAACTAAACAAAATGAACACAAAACGATCAGCTTTAAAAAAGGACTCGTAACTGGAAAAACCGAATGAAAAAAGAATGTTAACAACAAATACTTTTTCACACCTAACCCAGTTCTGCGGAATCAGAATCATCGTTGAGTTTAAGCAAGCGAATAGAGCCAATTGGAGTAAAGTGCCATGCAGATTTAAATTTTTCCCACTTGTGACGAATGCTGCTATCGATTTTTTAGCATGCTAGCATGCTAATTAATATTCGTGTCAGTCAGCTGTTGGCTCTCACGCTGGCCAATAGAATCTTCCTGCCTATTCGTGGCAGCCAGCTATAGGCTCTCACTCTGGACAGTAGAAAATGG